TTCGCAGACGCAGGTTGCCCTCTGACCATTTGAACGATGGCGGCAACCGTTCCTCGAACCCTTCCAGCTCTGTCAACAGCTCAGCGCAGCGCAATGGGAGGGTGGTCAGATCCTCTTGAGACCACGACGTGATGGCCTGAGAGGTACACTGCAATATCCTGGCGCGCATCCACTGGATACGCACATGCAGGGCCATGAACCCAAGAGCGTCGGGCATTGGCGAGGTTCCCATGCCGGTTTCCGATAATGGTGGCCTCAGTGGCTCAGTGGCTTCCGGAAGGTCGAACTCGAAATTCCTTTCGTTGCAGGGCAGGTGAACGTGGATCTGGCGCTCCGCATCGGGCCACAGAGCAACGTCATGCTGCCCTGCCGAAATGGACGAATCGATCATGTACAAGGACCACATCAGTCGACGGCGAGACTCTCGCGCAAGAAAGCAGAGGTCCGGGTTCTCGTGGTTGAGTCGAAGGGCCGTGGCAAACCGGCTCGCGATAGCATGCAGCATAAAGGCACCCGAAAACCTCCTCGAGAAGATGCGATGCTCAACGGCAATCACCAGCGCCTGGAGACGAACAATGGAAGGTTTCTCAATCTCGGCCAAGCACAGCCCCACAGCCTCTTCGATGCACTGATTCCCGTACTCGCTCATTCCTGAACCCAGATCTGTCAGCAAAGCCGTGATTGCAATCAGAGCAAGCACAAGAGACCGGTCGAGCGACCCGGCATGGTAACGTTCCATCAGCGATGCCCGATGCAAGAAGGAGAACTTGGGGATATGATGCACATGGCGGAAGAAGGCGTCAAAAGCGCGCAGGACGAGATCTTCGTCTGGTTCAGTCCGGCCAGCAGAACCTGGAGCAGGGCTCACAGTACCGCTAGCAAAGGCGCTGCGTCCAGAGTGGCCATCGTCACAAGATGGCGAGTCTGGCGGATGAACCGCGGCAGAAGCTCCTGATGCTTGAGGAGGGCCGGTCAGGGGAAGTGAGCGCTTTCCAGGAAGGTAGACGCATTGGAGTCCCTGGGCCGAGCAGCGGTCACAACTCGGAGTCGAGCCGCTGCAGCGGGCCTTCTTCTCGTGGCAGTTTTGGCAGGCGCGGCGGACTCGACGACGAGGTATCGCGATGCGAGACACGGCAGCATCGGTCTGGACCACCTCGACGCCCATGTGTTCGTCGTACGAGCAAGCAAAGCCAAGTCGCTCGCAGTTGGTGCAAGTCCCCTTTCGACCATCACATCGCACCTTGCGAGCACGACACGTTATACACGTGTGTGCGGTGCGCTTCTGCTGTGTCCGGGGTGATGCGCGCATTGGCAGCAGCTGTCAAAGCCAAACAGCATCTGTGACGATATGGTGTTGTGCCGTTACCTTATCGACCCCGCAGTCTCAATTGGATGAACTGAGTGGGCGGCTTGCGTTTGGCTGAGCGAGAAGATAATAAGCCTGGTCTCAGAATCACTTCAGGCATCTCGTGCTTGCTCTCTCCTCTGTTGTGTCTTGGCAATGTCGTGGCTAGATTGATCTGGAGTCGCGGCGACACTGCTCAGAACTCTGGAGTCTTGATCTGAACCACTGGCAAAGGCACCGGTTGTTCCCGGACCCGACGTTATTGTGAAGAGGCAACTTTGCCTGGTGTGCCGAGAACTGCCAGCCGCCGGTCGGCCCGTCCGTGCTTGGCGCTGCTTCTTTTCTAATTCTTGACATTTTGACATTTCTTGTAAACCCAGAACCTGAAGTTCGCTGGCTCCATCTCCGTACAGGTCGACACAACTTGGCACACGCGTCCCCCTAAAAGATGGCCGCTTGATACTTGTTACGGATATCACTCTACATCTTTCCCTGTAGGCTGACAATTCCGATGAATGAGGAACGAGATTCGAAACACCATAAAATAAAATAAAAGGCTCTCACTTCATCCTCCTTGAGGTCATGACGATATCATGGCGGGAAGCCAAAAGATAAGGTGGAGGAGGCTGGTTGGTGCCTAGCCGCTTGTGGGACTCCTGGGCCAGCTGCCTGCTTAGTGACCCGTGACCTCGTGTTCTCCCCCTGATAGAGACCCATTGTTGCCTGCTCGACACGTCGCGCTTGCCCAATTAAATAAACAGTTACCAGAAAGGTTCATCAAGTATAATTGCAAACAAAATCTCCAGGCTGTTTTCTCCAAAACTTTCCAGTGACATATTGTCCGCTGTCAAATTTCCACCACCCGCCAGACCTATTTACTCTGTATCATACCTGCTTCCAGCCAATCTTCACAATGCCGCCAAAACGCGCAAAGAAGGCCGCCGCAAAACCCCCTCTGGAGGGCTGCAAGATTGCCCTGAGTGGTACCTTCACGGGTATGACCCAATCGGCCGTCAAAGCCAAGGCAGAGGCCGTGGGTGCCACTGTGAGCACCACCGTCACCGAAGACACGACGCACTTGGTGGCCACTGAAGCCGACTTCAACAAGCCCTCAGCCAAGGTCGCCAAAGCCCAGACCCTTGGTATCCCCATTGTCAACTTTGAGTGGCTGTCCCTCTCGGAGCAAAACAACAGCAAGCAGGCCGAGAAGGATTTCATCTTTGGCGCTTCGTCTACCAATGCCAGCAATGGACCCGCCGCTGCCACGACATCGCGCAAGAGAGCGGCGCCCGCAGTCGACAACGCATCTGACACTGAGGTGGCTGCGCCAGCGCCCAAGAGGAGCAGAGGGGGGAGAGCTACGGCAGCCAAGCCCGCTGAGGTCAAGGATGAAGATGAAGACGTCAAAACTGAAGACGCCGCGCCAGAGCTGAAGAAGGCAAAACAAGAGAAGGCACTCGGCGAGGGACAAGTTTTGAAGCGCAAAGACACCCGGATTCCAATCGACGATGGCTGCCCTTTCACGAATTCAGTCGTCTATGTTGACTCTGATGGTGTTATTTACGATGCTTCGTTGAACCAGACCAATGCGTCCAACAACAACAACAAGTTCTACCGCATCCAGGTCAGTTCGCCCAGGAAGCCATGATCTCGGACGAGAAGAAACGTTGCTGACAAGCGGTAGCTTCTGGTGGATCCCCACGGCGTGTACAGGACATGGACTCGCTGGGGCCGTGTTGGCGAGCATGGCCAGACATCAGTCCCTGCCACAGGTTCGCTCGCAGACGCCATGAGACAGTTTGAGAAGAAATTCAAAGACAAGTCAGGCATCACCTGGGCCAATCGGGGCGACAACCCGAAGCCTGGCAAGTACGCATTTGTGGAGAGAAACTATGAAGACGACTCCGACGACGAGGATGCGGCCGACGAGGACTCTGACAAGGCCAAAACCAAGGCTGAGGATTGGGAGCCGCCCAAGTGCACGCTGGAGCCGGCCGTGCAGCACCTCCTGGAGCTTATTTTCAACCAGCAGTACTTTGCCAACACCATGTCGGAACTCAACTACGACGCAAACAAGCTCCCGCTCGGCAAGCTCAGCAAAGCCACCATCACTCGCGGTTTTCAGTCACTCAAAGACCTCTCGGAGCTCCTCGACGACAACACGCTCGCGCAAACCAAGTACTCCATGGGCTATGGGCGTGCCGTTGAACAGCTGTCCAATACGTTTTACTCGCTCATCCCGCATGACTTTGGCCGCAACCGGCCACCGGTGATTCACACTCAGCAAATGGTCAAGAAAGAAATAGAACTTCTGGAAAGCCTCAGCGACATGAAGAATGCGGCCGAGATCATGAAGCTGGACAAGACCGGCAACTACGACGTCCACCCGCTTGACAAGCAGTACGAAGGTCTCAAGATGAAGGAGATGACGGTCCTCGACCCTGCCACCCAAGAGTTTGCAGAGCTCAAGAACTATCTCGTCAACACGCGTGGCTACAGCCACGGTCACAATTACCAGGTGGAGAGCATCTTCCGCATCGAGCGTCAAGGCGAAAAGGATCGCTTCGACACGAGCACTTTTGGCAAGCTCAACCAAAACCGCCGCCTTCTGTGGCACGGCTCTCGCGCAACCAATTTCGGTGGTATCCTCAGCCAAGGCCTTCGCATTGCGCCGCCCGAAGCGCCGGTCAACGGCTACATGTTTGACAAGGGCATTTATCTTGCCGACATGGCCTCCAAGTCTGCCAACTACTGCTGCTCGTACCAGTCTGGCGGCACTGCCCTTCTTCTGCTGTGCGAGGCAGAGCTCGGCGACCCCATGCAGGAGCTGCTGCACTCCTCGTACAATGCCGCCAGTGAGGCCAAACAGAAGGGCATGATTTCGACGTGGGGCAAGGGCAGAAATGGCCCATTGGCGTGGAAGGATGCCGGTTGCGTTGAGCCTTCTTTGAAGGGCGTTATGATGGTGAGTGGCCCGAAAAGAAAAGAAAAGTGTCAGTTATGGCTGTTTCCGCTAACCAGTGATGATTCTGTAGCCCGACACCTCGAAGAAGATGCCAGGGGATACTGGCGTAGATGGAGCCAGCTTGCTCTACAACGAATACATTGCCTATGACGTCTCTCAAGTCCGCCTCCGCTACCTCTTTCGGGTCAAGATGTAACAAGGACCTGGGTTTTGATTACGATTAGCGAAGGAATGCGCGGGAGTTTGGCGTTGGCGGTCAACCTGGCTTTGTATTACGAGCAACAATGGTTCAACCAGTGTGATTATTGGGCCCTGGCAAAAACTGGCGGTGTAATTTATAGATTATGGTGGACGAACAAGTCCGGTAAGATAGCTTGCAGCCGGGGACATATAATTTGCTAATCTTGTGCCATGTGGTTGTCGGGCATCAGTCTCGATTGTACATTCGCAATAGGGAATGGATGTTCTATTTCGTATTCGTCCAGTTTGAGGCTTCCGCATGAAGTCACCCCTACTTTTGAAATCGGCTCGCAATCTAACCATGATCAATCCCGTCTTTCAACCAGACTGAGTTGGCTGCGTTTGCTGAATTTGCCGTTCTCTGCGGCAGTTCGTCGCCAGCCAGCAGGCCATATCGTCTTACCTTGCTGATATACACGGTCTTTGGATCTGCGTGTCAAGTGACCTCAAGGTCCGCTGGCGTAATGGCAGCGCGTCTGACTACGATTTTAGAATCAAAACATCAGGAGGTTCCAGGTTCGACCCCTGGGCGGATCGTCCTGACTTCAGCAAACGACATTCTGTTCTTTTTCTTTTTTCAAAGAGGCTAAAGGGTGATTTTTGTTGTTTGAGATAAGGTTGAACCTTGTTGGTTTTGGTCGGCTAGTCGGGGGTTTAACCTGGCCAGAGTCTCGCCAAAACATTCTACATTGAAGAATGTTCATTTTTATATACCACGATCAGGAATGCCAGTCGTGGAATCATGGACTGCGCAATGCTGGCCTCTTGACAAACCGGCCCCGGTTGCTTCTTTTAGACGTAGTTGGGGGTCCCGGACACCCCCTCATTCAGCCGAGACTATGTGGCCCCAGCATAGTCATCTTGCCAAAAACAACTCAACCCCACAAAGGGCATCGTCATGGCTTGGCCGTAAGTTTGCTATACACTCCGCGCGTCTATCGACAGTCACTTACCGAATAACTAGCACCTACACACTCGTCACAGGGGCCACCGGCTTCATCGGCGCCCATGTTGTGGACACGCTGCTCTCCCGCGGCTTCCGGGTGAGGGGGACCACCCGCTCCAAAGCCAAGGGCGATGCGATGTTAGCTTCTCGTCCCCAGGCCACCCATGCATCGCTCCTCGACTTTTTGGTAATTGACGACTTTGTGGCACCAAATGTGGACCTGTCTGCGGCTTTGGAAGGTGGCATTGACGCCGTGATTCAGTTGCCTCACCTTTTAGATACGACACCCAAGACAACGAAGCTGAGCTCATACTACCCGCCATCAACGGCGTCAAGGCTGTCTTGTCTGCGGCAGCGGCGGCAGGGACGGTAAGACGGGTGGTTATCACATCGAGCTTCGCTGCAGTGCTTGACGTCGGCAGGGCGCAGAAGGCGTCTCAATATTTCACGTACACGTCCCGAGACTGGAACCCATTGACATACGAGGAAGCGGCCGGTGCGGAGACCAGCGCTGTGGTAGCATATCGGGGGAGCAAGAAGTTTGCCGAGTTGGCAGCGTGGGAATTTGTGAAAAATTTCGAGGGACGGTTGAGTTTTGACCTGGTGCCCCCCGATGACCTTTGGGCCAGTGGTTCATCCTGTGTTTGGTGGGCCTGGGGGGGCTGAATGACAGCAACAGCCAACTGTGGAAAGCAGCGGTTGCCAATCAGCAGGGAAAAGCACTGCCTGTCGCGAGGGTGCCGTTCTGGATTGATGTAAGGGATCTGGCCGAGGCGCATGTGGAAGCACTGGTAAGGCGCGAGGCAGGGGGCAAGAGGTACCTGGTTGCTTCGCCGGAGAGGTTTTCATATGGCATGGCGGCTGACGTGATTGAGAACGAGTTTCCCGAGTTCAGGAGGCGGGGAGGAGAGGAGGTGGAGAGGCAGGTCACCGACGAGAGTCATGGAGTTGATGGCAACACGGCCGCAGAGGAGCTGGGAATCAGCTACAGAGTGTTTCAGGAGACAAGTCGTCGATTTGGTGAGGCAGGCTGCAGCGATGTGACCCCCTGCTGCCCACCCCACACCCATGACCTCATCGATCCTGGGTCCATGAACGCGCGACCAAATCGCAGTTTCCCGCTGCATCGTTGCTGAACAGCACTTTCATGGACGCGATGCCACTCGGCCAAGACGTATATGTGTTGAGTAGCGTATGCTCCCCTTTTGCTTTTGTCTTTCATGGCCATCGAAAAACCGATGTTGTCCGAAATGAGCTACACTGCATGCTTCGCTATCACACAGCGTTATTGATCGGCATCGGTCATGACGCCTACAGTGTTGCCGCCACGTCGGCACCTCGACATTCCACGCTACCCATTGGCCATCATGCCCGACAACTGGTATTTTACCAATGCTAGGCCAGCTGCTCGGGATCTCAGCATTGTGCAACTGATCTTGTCCACCCCCCTTCCATGCCACCCAACCTTTGTCTAACGTACCCAAGTCTACCGCGGGCCATTGCCCCCTCCACGCGTCACTCCCTCTTCACCCGCAGACTTCCCATACACCCCGCGCGGCTCACCACCATGACCCGAAAACCTGCCGGGCCGGTTCTCAAAACCGACGCTCCAGCACAGAACCTGGAGGAGCCCATCCGCCCCCAAGTACACCTCCGTCGATCGAACCGCAACCTGGCCCAGAGCCGAAAGATGACGGACGAGGAGGATGAGTCCCGAGAGATACAAGGAAAGATACTGGGAATCAGGAGGGAGGCTGCAGATTCTGAAAACGCCACGGAAACTGTCGAGGATGGCGAGAAATCGGGCAAAGAAGGACTGCGACTCGCCATTGAAGGTCTGGCCCGGATGGAACGACGGTTACAGCGGGCAACAAAACGGCAGAAGATGAAGGTGGAGGAAACACACCTGACCGAGACGCTTGATCAGGGCGAGTTCAAGCCGCGCGACGAGGCCGCTACCGCCGGCTGGAAGCTGCGTCATCAGCAACAACCAGACGCTTCCAAGCAGCCAGACGACAAGGACCGGGCGGAACAAGGTACCACCATCGGCGCAGGCCTTGATCCGGAAAACGAAAAACAGGAAGCATCGGAGGAGGTACTCGAGATGCTGGAAAGGGGAGCCGCGCGACCTCCTCCTGTCAACAGTCATTACCTTCCGCTGCCTTGGAGAGGCCGTCTCGGCTATGTTAGCTGCCCCATGGTGGTGTTATAAACGTGCGAATGTGGCATTGGTTCTAATGGTATCATTAGGCATGTCTCAACACCTACCTCCGCTCGGCCAAGCCGCCAGTCTTCAGCTCACGCACATGTCGTATGGCGTCCATCATCGACCACCGATATCCTCTCGCTGACCCGGATCAGCCCGAGCACGCCACCAAGAACAGACCCGACAAGTCCAAGACGGCCGATCACGAACTGGGGGTACGTTTTGTTCAGAACCTTGGCTTGCAGAATGCAGCCGACATTGTAAAAATGATGCGGTGGAACGCCAAATACGGCATCAAATTTATGCGGCTCAGCTCCGAGATGTTTCCCTTTGCCAGCCACGTCGAGCATGGCTACAAGCTGGCAACTTTTGCCTCGAAGATGTTGGCTGAGGTGGGAAGGGTCGCCGCCGAGCTGGGCCACCGCCTCACGACCCACCCGGGCCAGGTATGCCCCTTGCTGGTGAATTTGTACACTATAATGCCGCTGCTGACATGAAAATCCGTGCGTGTAGTTCACCCAGCTCGGCTCTCCCCGTAAAGAAGTCATTGAGGCGTCTGTTCGAGACCTAGAGTACCACGATGAGATGCTGACCCTGCTCCGGCTCCCGGAGCAGCAAGATCGTGATGCTGTCATGATCCTCCACATGGGCGGTGCTTACGGAGACAAGGCGGCGACTCTTGATCGATTCCGCGCCAACTATGCGAAGCTGTCACAATCGGTAAAGAACCGACTGGTTCTCGAGAACGACGACGTGTCGTGGAGTGTTCACGATCTGCTCCCAATATGCGAAGAGCTCAACATTCCACTTGTTCTCGACTACCACCACCACAACATCATTTTTGACTATTCTCAGTGCCGGGAAGGAACCTTGGACATTTCACAGCCTGAAAGTATGGAACGCATCACGGCCACGTGGCGGCGCAAAGGCATCACGCAAAAGATGCACTACAGCGAACCCTGTCCGGGTGCCGTCACACCGCGGGATAGGCGCAAGCACAGCCCGCGAGTCATGACGCTGCCGCCATGTCCGCCGGGCATGGACCTCATGATCGAGGCCAAGGACAAGGAGCAAGCCGTGTTTGAGCTGATGCGCACGTTCAAGCTGCCTGGGTTTGAAAAGATCAACGACATGGTGCCACATGAGAGAATGGATGAGCCAAGGCCTGCGCCACGGGCTGCCTCGACAAAGAACAAGAAGAAAGCAAAAGCAGGGGCCAACGGGAAGCGGAAGCGGGCGGCAGATGAAGATGATCCTGTAGATTTGGACGACGCAACGGCTGCCGAAGGAGATGACAGCAAGACAGAAGTGTCTCAGATTCCCGAAGTGACAGTCACAGCCCTGGAGTTTGGGATGGGTGGACCCGAGAATAGAGTTTACTGGCCGCCTGGCATGGAGGAGTGGCTGAAGCCGAGGAAGAGACAGGCTAGCAAGAACAATAAAGCTGGCAAGCGGGGGTTGGAGGATGGGGATGAGGATACGGGAGAAAATTTGGAGGAGGCCGAAGGAATCTAAAATAGGGACCAGAGTTGTTAACAAGCTAGGTCGGCCGCGATTCATGTGTTGCCCAAGCATCAAAGGCTGGAAATGACCCGGGATTTTACTTTGGTACCCATGTATGTTCGAGGATGTACTGGTATGTGCTATAGAACACATGAGCCGGCTAGTGTAACTTGTTGTGTGCTTGTCTTGGACTTTTGTATGTGAACAATTATCCTTGCTCATGATGACGTTGGGATTGGGAATACTTGCCATCACATCACTTGGGATACATTGTCCAGCCAGGGGCTTGTTGTAATTCTTATTTACCGCCAATACCGATATGATCGTATCCCAAATCCGGTCTATATACATGCAAGATGCCCCCCATTGTTTTCCTGCTGCGCCGCCCGAAATGATATGACTAGCCCAAACCAGTGAGAAAGAAGAACGATGATGAAATCCCTTTCCAAGGGGTAGTGAATGCCGGAAAGACACCAGATGCCCTGCTCTGGTTGATGTCCTCGGGATGGGTGCAATTTGATCTCTTTTTCTTTTTTGACGGTTGTCGCCAGGGCACTAAGAAAGTCCCTGAGACAAATCTTGGTAGATATGCCGTTTGAGATGTGCTTTTGCTAAGTGGAGATGCTGAAGCAAGTACGCGAGCCTGCTTGCTACTGAGAAACAAGGGCACAGGGTAGAAGAGATATATGTAAGACGTGACGGTGGTGATTAAACTGGATACGTGGCAAAAAAAGTATGTGAAAAAATCGTGAAACGTTGCGGGCGCAAGCAACCTGGACGTAGCATCGAGAATGAGCGTGATGAAGCGTATTGCGAGGGTCCAAAACAACAAGGAGCTCAAGCGGAGCTCGAAACCTGCGTCGAAACCTGGGCGACCTCTCC